GGAAATTCTTTTTCGTGTTATTTGTCTTTGTTTGGTTATTATTTTTCTTTTTATTGTTTGTCGTTTTGTTCTGATATATCCAACTGTTTGTGTATGAGGTGTGATTACAAGATCGTATTTTTTGTTATGTATTTCACAATTGTGTAAAACGATTGTGTGTTTATTTCCTAGGTTTTTAAATGACATAAGGTTTAGGATGACGGATGCAAAAGGTTGTTAAATGATTTCTATTTTCTTAGACTGTTAGTCCTTACGATTTTTTGGTTAGCCTAACCTGGGTCTATTTGTTCAGGGTTGGGGAGAAAAGTATATCGATTCCGAAGAATGATTTTATACTTTCTCGTGGCTAGTATAAGCTAAGGTGTTAACTTACTTAATCTTACTTAAGGGTAGTGATTGTGTTCAGGGTTGGAGAATAGTAAATCGATCCACAAGGTTCAGGTATAATTAGAACGCGAGTAGTTCGTTAGATACTATTTTAATTTTACTAAGTCTAAGATTTATCCTGGGTCTGGTAAGAGGGGGGATCAAGTGAAGGATGAATAACCGAAATTCTTCACTGTTTATCCTAATTTGAATGATTAGTTTTGTTCAAAAATTTCTGTTAGTCCTGGGTTTTTAGAAAGGGTTGGATAGTGAATCGACGTTTGAGGTCGTTAGACACTAGCTAAGTGGGTGGGGGAGAACAAAATTGTTCTTTTTGATCCAAGGATAGGCCTTGATGATCAAGTTTTAAATTTAATTAAATAGAAAATGATTTAAGATCCAAGGATGAGCCTTGATGATCTGATTTTAAATTTAAGTGAATTTAAGTTTAAAATGATTTAAATTTGTGTAGAGAAAAGATTTAGTGTTTTTATGATATTAGTGAGCTTATGAATGCTGTTATGTTTTAGGTGATGAAGCTGGAACAACAGGATGATTTATGATTACTAACCATTTATTGTCATGTTACTAATTTTTATTTTGATTTTTCAATAAATATTTTTCAAACATGTTTTGTATATTACTGCAGAAATTAGGAAAACGATCTGAGATCTTTTTATCAATCGTTATTGTATATTAATAATTTTGTTTAGCGCCTGAAATGATTTTGAAGATTGACTTCAAGATTTTATGTTTGCAAATGAAAATCTAAATTCATTGCTAGTAGTATTCTAAATACAAAAGTTTGTGTTGGCTTTTGCCGAACTATCATATAACTATATGGTAAGTTTCTACTTTGTCGTATGTCGTCTCTGGTTTGAGGTCTTCTTGCAATTCCGGGTAGTTGTCTTATCGTTCGGAATATTGGCTTTGATCTATTGAGTCGTAGAGACATTTCGATTAAATTATCGTCGTGTAACATTTTTTTAAAAAAAGTTTTGTCTAAATTCTAATCTATTTTTGGTTAATTCTAAGCTATTAAGGTCTTGTTCGAGACTTATGGTCGCACCAGATGAGTTATGACCGAAGTGTATAACTCATAGAGTAATTTCGGATAGGGTACACCGTCTGCTCGTCACGCTATCTTATTTTCGGCCGGATAGATTCGTGCAACTTCTTAGTCTAATACCGATCCTAATCTTACTCTTATACTATCTAGTCTCAGGTTGTTTAACTAGTCTCTGCTAGGCTCAATAGATCTAGGGTATACTGGTTTATTGCGGCTGCTGAAGTCTTCTTGGAGAGTCAACTAATTTCTAAGTTAAATTCAAATCTCTCTGGTGCTGAAATTACAAGTAATTTCAGCACTTACAAATAAGTGGGTTGTTAGTTAGATGGATCATGATTGGTTAATATTAAATACTTTACAGTGGTAAAATATCTAATTTATCCAATCATAAAATGTAGTTTAGATCAGGTTCCAATACGACAAAAAGTACAAAACCGAACCCTAATTGGCCAGAATGACTGTAGTGATTTTTTTGAAAAGGATTATATTCGCGATTAATCAACATAAGTTCGAGAGAACACACTGTGTTCACGCACAATCGATCAATCCAATAAGTCGCAGAAGCGCCAAAGCCTAATCCTGAAGTAAAACTTCATTGACAGATCATCGCCCTGATACAAACGCCCATTTTTTAAAATGAAAATATGCAGTTATAGTTTGTGACTTTCGAGAGGATGCTGAAAAAAATGAAGAAATTATAGGATAGAGGCGGAAAAATTATAGCAACAAACTTAAATAGTAGTGATGCTAGTCTGGAATGTGTACCAGACTCAGTATAGTGTATAAACTGGCTACCTGAACCAGGCTGCCATTTTATCCGAGAAAAAACATTGCAATGTAATTTGTTTAATTTAAACTTTCAGTTGGATAATCTTTTACTGGGAATAAAAATTCGTGTACAATTTTCGTTGAACGAATCACTGCAGTCACTGTAATGTCAATAATCTTAGATTATCGACATAGCAGTGACTGCACTAATTCGTTCAACGAAAAACGTACACCAATTTTTATACCCAGTAAAAGATTAGCCAACTGAAAGTCTAAATTAAACAAAATAGCGTGCATTGATGTTCCGACTTCCGATATTTTCTTCAGACAAACTTCGACTTCTCAACTAGCCATTTTTTTTAAATATCATTCGAGAAGTATTGTCTTGAGCTTAAACTTGCAAAACAAAACATTTCACCTGTGATCATTTTTCGTAAAAGTTATGGGGGTTTAAAGATTGCCATTCTGGCCAATTTGGGACAATTAACGCGCGATATATTTTGCGCTATTAACGCGTAAGCGGAGGGTTATTTCGTCTTAGAAATCGTTCCAAATTGGTTAAAAGAAGCTTATTTGCCATAATTGATTTGTTACAAGGAGCGAAATCTATCCTTTTGTACTTTTTATGGCGTGTGGAGGGATGAGTCTAACAAAAAAGTTCAAATTTTAGAATTTTTTTTTCATTTTGCTTAATTACATTTTTTTAAAATATTTTTACTGCTCAATAAACCTTAAAAGGCAGTCGGAACATTCAAGACTTCGCCCTGATACGAGCAGTCTTGTTGGATGAGAATGGCATAGCCAAGGCTGGAGAATTTGAGTAGTAAGCAGGCAATTGATGCGATTCATTTATGTTAGTTTTCTTTCAGGATAACCTAATTGTGGTTAGTTATTGTTCCGAGTACTCTCAAAGAGACGGAATATTTGTGCTCGGTTTTTTTTTCTTCAGATAAATTTCGACTTTTTAACTTGCCTTTTATGACGGCATTTTTAAAATATCCTTCAAAAGGTATTGTTGTCCTGAGCTTAAATTTGAAAAGATATTTTACCTGTGAACCTTTTTCGTAAAATTCTGAGGGTTTCAAGATTGGCATTTTGGCCAATTTGGAACAAATAACGCGCGATATATTTTTGCGCTATTAACGCGTAAGCGGAGATTTAATCCGTCTTAGAAATCGTACCAAATTGGTTGAAGGAAGCTTATTTGTCAGAAGTGATTTGTTACTAGGAACGAAATTTGTCTTTTTGTTTTTTATATGGCGTGTGGGGGGATGATTTTTTAGAAAAAATGTCAAATTTATTTACAACATTTTTTTTCAATTTATTCTCCTTTTTTTACATTTAATTTTTTAATGTTATTACTGCTTCATAGACCTTAAAAGGCAGTCGGAATATTCAGGGCTTCGCCCTGATACGAGCAGTCTTGTTGCAGTTTGGAGTTATTTCAGTTTGCCCTGAAGCTATTTTATGAAGTTTTTACATAAGCCTTTGAAATGATGAAAAGTATTCAGTAACCAGTTCAACTTGAAACCGTTTTTATACATGAATAGTAAAACGTTCGACACGAATTAGTTGAGATACTGGAAATACAGTGCTGATTTGAATTATCCGAAAAAAAAACGAATAAAATTTGAAATTTTTAATGCATTTTTCTCAATTGGATTGTTTTTTGACAAAAGATAATGAAGACCAATCCTGCTTAAAATTTCAGCAGCTTTTTGACATGGTGCTTTTGTTTTGCAAATTTTGGGCCCCAAAAATTGACCCCAAAAACAATCATTTTTGGCTTTTTTAGTCAATCAAAAATTATTCCAAACCTATTTAATTATTTCCTGATACAATTAATTAACTGCAAGCTTCTTATGTAGCCTAACAAATTTTTAAAAGGTGCTATCTCCAAATGTGGGCGCAAAAGTGTTCAAAAAATGTTTTTATTAAAAATGTTGTTGTTTTATAAATATAAATAAAAATGACGTTTTTTGGCTATCAGACGAAAATCAACATGCTTACAGAAAGCTGAGTAAATTAAAACATTTTAAATTTTTTTAAGCTACATAAGAAGCTTGCAGTGATATAGTTTTGTCAGTAAATCAGCAATTATGTTTGGAGCAACTTTTGATTGAGTCCTTAGGACGCCAAACTGTTCGCTGCATGGTGTCTGTACGGGCCTTGATTCAAGAGACAAGTCTTTAAACTTGTTAAAATCTTGTCCGAACGATCAAAGAAAATGAATGAACAAAAGAAGAACAAAGGGAGATTCCTTAATGAGAAATGCGCTTACATTTCCCAAAAACACAGTTTGGCCTCATAATGGTAGAAAACGCCAAAAATGATCGTTTTTTGGGGTAAGTTTTTAGGCAAGTGGCAACATTTTAATTTTGTTGAAAACTGCAGTTTATATTTATTTCACAAATAAACTGGGGGCATCAAAATTATTTAGATAATTGAAAAGTTAATAAAAAACTCATGTTTTAAATTTCAAGTTTGGTCTGATAGAAAAACCTACCAAAATTTTAAAACTTTGTTACTTTTCTGGAATTAAGCGTGAAAAGTTGTTTGGGGAAGTATTTATTTTTTCGACCAGTAAAATGTTTCTCGAATTTCTCAAAAAAATGTTTTTCTGAATTCTGTTTCATGAGCTGGAAAATGTGTGCTTTGTTGTGGAACAGTTTTGTGCGCTTTTTAAATTTATAATCGGCATCTGATCTTGCTACAATGGAGATGCTTTTACATCTTAAGGTATAACTGAAAAACTAAAGACTAATTTAGCAAAACTAAAATCATGTTTTCAATTCAGTTAAGAAATTCGGGAAGAATTTTCAAAAAAGTTCACGCAGAGGATGAGACATGGGCAGTGCGGGAGACCGAGGAAGAAATTCTGGAGCGAATCAGAGACAAAATTCCAAAGTACAGTCCGCCCGAACTACTCGGAAGCATTGAAGTGTCAGCTTCCATCGCACAAATTGTGGATTTGGACGAAAAGCGAGGGTCGTGGTCGGCTAAACTTGAAATAGTGTCCGTTTATTACACACGTTCGTTTTTGTGGAGAGTCGACAGAAACAACAGCCGAATTAGAAGCAAAATTCCGACATGTCTGGTAATACCGAAAGACTATGTTTGGGCCCCCGCATTGAGTGAGTTGTTTTTACCATTTAACGAAAATTTGAATGCTTGGACTACAATTTCCGGCGATTGAGCCAATCTGTTTCAAAGGTAGAATTTTAAAAATAAATTATTAGGGTTTTTTTGAAGAGACAAAAACCAAGGGCAGTAGCGAACTTAGGGTGGACGCCGTCCCTTCAGGGTTCGACCCCCTGCCCAACCAAAGGGTCCCTAAACTGGTACTATCTGAAGACATCAATAGTGTCAATACTAATTTTGACGCGGAATCCTTCCAAAAATGCAAAAAAAAACTTTTCATTTGGCCTGTTATTTCTGCCATACATACATACTCAGAAAAAAAACACGCCCTGTACTCACGGACAAACGCACTCACGCATAGAACGACGCACATATAAGCACAAACAATCATGCTCTCACCAAAAGACACACAAATACACGCATACGCACAGAAAAAACACACTCACACACATTGCTAAAAAAACATACAGACGCGCACACACACGCACACCACACAAACAAACCAAGACACTTAAACATACAGACAGATACATACAAGCAGACGCACATACAGACACACACGCAGACAGGCACAAAAACACAACTTCTAACTCCCAAAACCACTTACGCTCCAGAGAGATAAGGTTCTGCGGTACTTTAAGTCCGTCTTTTTCAACAGCAGTAATTTTTATGGAATTATTTCGATATGTTACGCAGCATTGCCGTGTTCAATTAATTACCCGTATTGGAGCTCCATGAATAAAAATTGGTTATAATTGTTTCGACTTTCGTAGCGAAAGTAACGGAATATTTGTGCTCGGGTGGGTTTTTTTTTCTTCAGACAAGTTTAGACTTTTTAAGTAGCCATTTTTGACGAAGTTTTTTTATGTCATTCGAAAGCTATTGTTGTCCTGAGCTTAAATTTGAAAAGATATTTCACCTGTGACGATTTTTCATAAAGTTATGGGGGTTTAAAGATTGCCAGTTTGGCCAATTTGGAACAATTAACGCGCGATATATTTCGCGCTATTAACGCGTCAGCGAAGATTTAATCCGTCTTAGAAATCGTTCCAAATTGGTTGAAAGAAGCTTATTTTCCATAATTTATTTGTTATTAAAAGCGAAATTTATCACTTTGTACTTTATATGGCGTGTGAGGGGATGATTTTTTACAAAAAATCTCAATTTAAAAAAATCATTTTTTTACATTTAGTTTTCATGTTGTTACTGTTCCATAGACATTAAAATGCAGTCGGAATATTCATATTAAATATATTCAATATTTAGTCTTGTTGTGTTTCCTTGTCATTGTTCACAAAAGTGAAAATAAATCGATTATAATCAATTAAAATTGAATATTACTAGTTTTCGAGGCAACAAAATCCTTTTTTCATTCATTATAATCATTTTTTTTCTTTTTTGTGGACGCTGACATTGAAAATATTTTAGAATCAATTTTTTTCCACATTATTGAGACGCGATATTCAACACACATAAAGGTTTTTCTACATTTTGAACTAAAGTTGGTTACGTTGGTTACTTGTTGTTCAATTTAATTTTTTTCTGCCTAACTTATTTATGTTACACAAAAACTGAATTTCGTTCCTTTCAACTATTTTTTTTTTAATTAATAGAAACTTGGGGGGGGGGGGGGTAGTAAAGTTGGAGGTGGACTAATCCCCCTTCCATTAGCATTAGAATCTTTTTGCAAATTGAGTTTAGGTTTAGAATTGGATTAGGCCGTACACTCGTTTTGAAAAGTTTCCACATAACTCTTGGTAAATGCAGAATTTCTTGCAAAATTTTGCACTACGCGCAAAACAAAAATAAAGTGGAAAAAAATTCATTTTAATGTGATTTCGTACTTATTATAAAATCCATTATAATGGATTACAAATGAATTATAATGCATTATGTTTTGGCGAGAAAAAATGGATTTAAATCCATTTTCAGTCTAATTTTGTTGTCTGGACGTAACATGGGAATCGATTATATTTACAACATTTTAGACCACGAATATCCATTATAATCGATTTGTTTTCACTTTTCTTAAATGCGGGTATTTATAATGATTTTGATGTTTCAGCTATTGAAAATGTACTTGACCCGCAATTCAACCTGATGAGTCAAAAGCAACTGGTTTGTAACGACGGATTAGTTTCATCGCATTACTCATACTTCAAGCCCAAAATGTCGTGTGATTTCGATGTATCAAAATTTCCGTTCGACGAACAATGTTGTAACATCACAATAGAGCAGAAGCCAAGGCTCATCTGGAACTATTTATTTGGAATTTGGCTGAAAGGTCAGATATTAATCTAGCAAAATTCAATTTTTTTCTACTAAAGAACCTTACGATTTACTGCAATCACAATTCAAACTTAAAGTTCGATTGTTTTTACTAATGGACAATGTTTGCATGTGTTCGAAAGAACAACAATTTTTATCTTTATGTTACAGTTATAGGCCTCTGCTTTTTCTATTGTTAAAAAATATCCTTCGCTTTCATTTAAAAAACAGAGCCAAGCGGCTCGTATTAGTCTAAGATTTCGATATCATCGTTTGTCTTGAAGTTTGATTGTATCTAAAACAAATTTTTGCTAGGACAGTACAATTTTTTGAATGGAACAAAGAATTCTGTCGAAACATTAAACATTAGATCGTGAAATCTGCTTTAAGAACACTGTGCTTTTCTAATATTTAGAGCAAAAATATGTCTTACTCAAATGATGGCTGAAAAAAAGTTATTCAAACAAGGATAGCTTGTTACTGTGCAAGTAGCACAGAATGTTCCGACCATAGTCATAGTTTTTAGAGTTTTATCAACTTTTTTTTTTGCATTTTTCACGTTTTTGTTTCCAAAAAGGCGCTAAAATACTCAAAAAACACTAAATAACACACCTAAGTTTTTACCTCTCAAAGTTAGCAAATGTTAGCCTTTTAGGCTATTTAAAAACTATTGGAAACCTGCTCGCTCTGTCAAAATTAGACAAAAATCACGACTGCAAGGGCTTTCGCTTAATATTGCGTAAGTTTTTTTTAATAAATACGAGGTCAAACTGTGCCATAATACGAGGTCAAATACAAATCACGACTGCAAGGGCTATCGCTTGATATTGCGTAAGTTTTTTGTAAATACGAGGTCAACTCTGCCATAATACGAGGTCAAATTTTAAAAAATACGAGGTCAAATATCGCAAAATCAGCAAATGATTAAAAATTTAGGCGGAACAGTAGTTGTGCTGCGAAATCTTTGATAGATAAATGTTGAAAAGCTGTGGCAGATTTCGCAGTTGCAAGTGGTTTCCTCAAATGAAAGCTAGCTCCACAAACTGTACGTATAATCTGCAGTTTTAATTACTGATTTTGTTTATTAGACCGATGTAAACTAGAAAACCAGGGGCGGATTTACGGGGGGGGGGGCTAATTTAGAACGCTTACAAATGTGGATTATGCTCCGACGTAATCCATTGCACCCAGGAATAGTTTTGTCAATGGTTTCCTTAAGTTGTTCTGGATTCCGCAATTTTGGCCTTTTCGGGACAATTTAGAGAGATAAAATGTTTCAGTCATTTGACTGTGAGTTCCACAACAGAAAAAAAAATTGTTGAAAAACAGCCGTCCGCGATAAAACTGTTTTCAGACTGCTCCCGATTTAACTAACAAATTACAAACTAAACAGTTTGACTTCGTAATAACAAAGAGATTTTGTTGAATTTCGAAAATGATAAATTAATGTTTTCAGCTCTAGGTAAAGGCAACACTGGCACAATTGACTTTATCGAAAACGAGCAATGGGAGCTTTTAAGCACCAAAATGATGCCAATTCGAGACAATGAGGGGATATTAATTCAAGTTCAGTTGCGAAGGCGATCCCTTCACTACGCTCTGATCTTCGTTCTACCAACAGTTGCCTTATACTTGATGTCTGGACTGTCTTTCTTGTTACCTTCCGATGCATGTGAAAAGATCTCCTTTGCAGTAACTATTTTACTGGCACAAGTTGTGGCCTTTTCCGCCTTGGGTGAAATTTTGCCAGCTAGTTCAATGAAGCCACCGGTTTTGCTGTTCTTCTTAACAGGAGTTCTGTGGCACATGGGCTTACTTTGTCTGGTGGCTGTCTTCGGTTAGTAGTTTCACTCATTAGTTAATTTTCACTGTCTGGAAAAATATGCTATCTCCTTGCAACCTTGCCTCATTTTGAGATGTTGCACAATTGCGCACTTGTATTTGGACCTTCAGCTACTTATTTGTTTTTGCGCAATTAGGGCTGGGGTTGTTTGTTGCTCGCAAAAACTGAGGGGATTTATTTTTTCGGCGAATTACGGTGTAAGGATTGCTGACGACATTAATGATAGAACGAAGGGCGATCAGCGAACTCTACCCATCAGCGAGCATACATTTTTCGGTTGCGCAAAGTCGTGACTGAGCGCTTTGCGTTGTGTAAAGCCACCCCAATATTTCTTTTCCGCAAAAATTTGCGCCGAAATTCTCAATTGTGCGCTTTTTTTTGGTTCGCGCAAAGTCGCGGCGAGGGGCTCGGTCGCACTACGTCGCGACTTGTATTTTTTTGTCGCGACTTGTATTCCTACAAAGCTACCTACACAGACTAGATGAATCAACCCCAGAAACATGCCCACATCCACGCTTCCAGGAGCACTTGTACGCTGGTTAGCCACGTACCTGCACGGTAGACAGGCCCGCACACTGTTCAGAGACACGCTGTCAAGCAGTCGTATTGTCAGATTTGGAGTTCCACAAGGATCGGTTGTGGCTCCTACGCTGTTCAATTTCTACGTGGCAGATGCTCCAATGCCTCCACCGACAATTTTCTTAGTATCCTATGCTGACGACTTCACAGTTTTCGCCCTTGGGACCGACATAGAGACACTAAGCAAAGACATCAACAGCTACCTGACGACGCTCTGCAATTTTCTAGACTCTAGAGATTTGGAGGTTTCAACACCGAAATGTTCCGTCACGCTCTTCACGCCCAGCACCAAAGAACACAAAATCACACCAAACGTGAAGATCAACGGGAAAGCCCTCATTCTAGCGAAAACACCAAAAATACTAGGCGTCACCTTCGATACAGCCCTGACATTCGGCCCGCACTGCAAACTAGCCGCAGCAAGAGGAAGGAGCAGAGTGAATATCTTGAAAGCGCTGGCAGGAACTACCTGGGGACAGAGCAAGGAAACCCTCATAGTAGCCTACCAAGCCTTCATCAGGCCCGTCTTAGAGTACGCATCACCAGTCTGGACTCCGATCGCTGCACAGACCCACGTAGAAACGCTGCAGAAAGTCCAAAACTCAGCCCTAAGAGTGGCCACAGGATGCACCACGATGACCGCTATCCAGCACCTGCACGACGAGACGAAAATTCTACCTGTCAGGCGGCATATCCGTATGAAAGCAGTCCAGCACCAGCTAGCCCATCATCTCGAAGGACACCCTGGCAACAGGCTGCTAGACCGACCGGAACCGCCCAGAAACATGAAGGAAACGCTCTTCAGCAGGTACGAGAGGTACATCACTGCACTCCTCGAAACATCCGATTCAGAAGAAGACGACGACACGCACGTTACCGAAGAGGACTACAGAGGGCTCCTCAAAAAAGTGCACACAAATGAGGTCAAAGACGCCCTAGACAACCGGGACAACAACAAAGTGCTCGACGAACCAGCCCCCAAACTGAGCAAGGATGAATTACGACTGCCGAGATGTACTAGACGGACCCTTGCCCAGTTACGGAGCGGTTACTCCCCATTCCTACAAAGCTACCTACACAGACTAGATGAATCAACCCCAGAAACATGCCCACAGTGCAACTCAGAAACCCACACAACGGGTCACCTATTCAGGTGCAGCGCAAACCCGACTACAATCACCCCCCACGCACTCTGGGAAAACCCGATCGAAGCAGCTGCTTTCCTGCAACTCGATACAGAAGAAGCCACAAATGAGGGACAAGAGGAGGGCCAAACTACGGGCACCTAGGCAACAACAACAACAACAACAACAACAACTTGTATTTTTTTGGGCCGAAGTTTGTCAATCGCACAAAATCGCGTACATCGAAATTTGTTGATATCGTCAAGTTTTATTGGAAGGTCAATTATTCGTGTTTAATATATCTAATTACTCAAATCAATCTTCTGAATATTTGAGACCGTTTGCCAACTGTTTTGATAAGTAGGCATCTCTGATGTTAATGACTATCATTCAGATGGTCACTTTTGGCTAACTAATTAAAAACTATTGCACTTTTGTATTCAAAGTGTTGGGTTATTTTAAGAGGCTTTAAAAACAAAAAAAACTGAAAAAATCATATTTTGTTTAAGTGCTAAGTTTGAGTCAAAATGGATGGAAAACGAGGATGGGTTCCAGATGTCTTTGGGTTATTCAATCCCCCTGGCTCAGAGTAATCGGGCTCAAACCCCTATCCGATACGGGCTACTACATGCACAGGTAATTCACAATTTCAATACTAGTCTTATCTTATAAATCAATTGATATCGTTAAAAAGATACTCAATCTTTAGTTAAGTATCGATAACACATAAGTATGGCATTTGACCATTTGACCTTATTACTAATATCAGAGTTGATATGCGTTTTACAGCTGAGCAAGTTGCCGCATAAACTTCTCAAAAGGAATACAAGATTCTAAAATTTGTTCAACTTCAATTTTAAGTTAATAATTATTAGTGAAATTGGTCAACGTAATAACGAATTGCTCATTTTTCATGGTAAGGAAGTACCAGGGGCTAGACGAAATTCAGCTCCGAAATGAACTGCTCCATCTTTAAAAGTCAAACTAATTTCGCTGCTACTGGAGATTTTTTTTGCCAGCAATCAAGAAAAACCTCAAAAACAAGTTTTAACTAAATCGCAGAATATCCCAAAAATTGTTTTTTCACAGTTGGATCTGTCTATATGGGTTTTTTGAATAGATTCGTCTACCAGACAATTGAATTTCAGTGTTGTATATTGTAGAAACGCGATGAAAAAGCTCGTATCACGCAATCGATTCAAAACAAAAAATGCAATTTTTTATCAGGACGCTGTATTCAAAATTCAAAATTCAAAATTCAAGTAATTTTTGAGATTCTCTAAATATAGTTTCAACCTTTTAATTGCCAGTATCAAGAAAAAAAACACAGCACAGAACAAATATACTGAGTTTCAACGAAAAATTGCGTGAACGGTAGCTCCATTTCAAATGTATTAGAAACTTGGAAATTTTAAGGGACTCACTTGAACCTAGGATTTTTTGTTCTTCTAGGTTATCACTATGAGAATTCCTGCTAATCAATAAATTTGTATAAATTGAGGTCAAATTTTTCACAGCCTTTCTACCAAGCATTCATGCGATACACTGGACTCAAATTTGAAGGTAAATGACTTGACGGCAGAAGAAAAAATGGAACAAGCAAAGGAGTTGAACTGCATCCGGTGGAAATTCTTGGCGATAGTTGTGGATCGCTTCTTCCTTATAATTCACTCAGCATTTGTCACAGCTAACATCACAATTACAACCTGGAAGCTTTTTGCCTGAAAAAAAAAAAACAGATTCAAATTCTTTTTGCACCAGTATATATTAAATAATTGGTATTTGAACTCATATTATCTATGAAAATATTTGCATGAATTTGGAAACAGGTTTTATCACAACTCTTTTACCATTGCAGAAAACAAAGTAGCGAAAGGAGCAAACCTCACGAAAATCGGCGAACAAAGTAAGGAAATTGGTTTAAATTTCCCACTTACTTCATGTTACTTTTTTCTTCAGATAAAAAATATTCTTATTTATTAGCCGTACTTGGCAAAACAGTTTTTTTTCAATGGAACGGCCTTGATGTCTTGAGTTTGAAAAGACAAAAAATTAATTACCTGCTGTTAAATTATTTTTTTTGAGCGCGTCATTTCAATCAATGCATATCTTACGGCCCAAGTACACCCGGTTCATCAAAATTTCATCAAAATTGCAACACGACACCAGACTCTAGGATCAAATCAGGATTTTATCAGGCTCAAATCACTTCAATTTGAATTTCAAATTTCGCTGAGGATTATTTATAAAAAGGAACATTTGATGCAGCGACAATTTAAATGTAATTGAAGGAGACCGGCATATTATCATGTGTGACGATAAGCATGCCCATCTAGAAAAGTGCAACTCGAAGATTCGCTATTTAATGGTTTGTTAGCTTAAGTTTGCACATTTTGAACAGCGAGCACTTAATCTATTTTTTAATTACCCGGTTGACCACCATAGACCAAAAAAGCTAATCATACATTTCCATAAACTAAGTCTATGAAAAAATAGTTCATACCTTTTGCTAAAAAGGATTTATCGGAATTTACGAGAAATTATTTCTTGTTTTGGCATACACGTCGGTTTATCGTACTAAATGAAAAAGAAAAATATTTTGTAAAAAAAATGCGAATCATATAGTTTCCATGTTTGGAAATTGTCTGAATAGCAATTTTTTGATGGCGACAACAAAAAGTTTTTCAAGTAATTTTGAAATCCCCAAACATTTTTCAATCGCAAAATAAGTTTTGTACTCAAACAAATATTTTCCAAAAATTGTTTTGCTAGCAATTTTTAACTTTTTGTTAGCATAACGTAGTCTTGGATACACAAAAATGGGATTTTTTCCGTTTAACTGGATAACGTTCCTTCAAAAACTCTCAAAAACATTTTTATCTATGCCTCGATCAGTCTCTGATAATTTAAAAGTTCAAATTTTGAAAACAAAAACATCTTTGAATTTGTTTGCCAAATATTAATAGTTTGATGCTTTCAGTATACTAATTGCTTAACCATCGCAAGTTATTTCCAATGCAGTACAAATGCGAGACAATCAAGCCTTTGGTGACTCTAGTTTTAAGTAAGCCATAGTTTTTTGTCACTTGAGTTAGGGCACTAAGACATCCAAATTTTTTTTTGCTTTTTCCTATGGCATTTTTATGTAAGCCTTGATCAAGGGCAGTTTTACTCCCCTAACAAATCATGTTGTTTGCCAAAGTTTCAAGTTTGAACATTTTGAAAACAAAAACCATCTTTAACTCCCCCAGTAAATCATGTGGTTATCGATTTTTTTTTAAAATCTTGTTCTAATTTAATTTTGAAAATACACCCGGCTAAATCAGCTAAAGCATGCTAATAGGCATGCATGCTAATCACATTGCCCTCGGAGTTGATGGCCTTCCATAACTTAAGTTACATCGTACTGTCTTATGTGCTGAAAAGGAACCAGTTCGAAACAAGTTTTTATTATATTCCTGATAAATATCACTTTAAAATATTTAAAATTAACCAATCATGATCCGTGACCAAAACTTAAAAAAATTTGTATGGCTGAAACTATTTATAGTTTCAGCCACAAAAGAATAAATTCAACTTAGCAAACAGTTGCTCTTCCTCTCCTCTAACCTAGCAAGAAAACCAGTATATACTAGATCTTTTGAGACTACGAAACGTAAGAGTAAGATTAGGATTAGTATTAGACTAAGAAGTTGAATGAATCTATATCCGGCCGAAAACAAAATAGCGTGACAAACCGACGGCGTACTTTATCGAAAAATACTCTATGGGAAATCTATCCCGTACTTAAAATTATCTGGTGCGACCAAACGAGTCTCGAGCAGACCTATACAAATTTAGATTTAGAAAAGACAAACATAGAATAGAAAAATTAGATTAGAAAATTTGCAACAAATTGATCGACCAAATCGAAAAAAAGCTTGTTTCCAGGCCTCAATAAGACTAATCCAACCAAGGCAAAAATGAAGCTGCAGTCACCTCACAACCCAGACAACAAGTCGAATCTTTGCTAGGGTGAACCGAAAAAGCATACTACAACAATTAATCAACTACAAGTCTGTTTATGTAGTAAATTTTTATTCATCAATATGAGCTGCAAAAAACAGAGCTGTCAATTTACTTAGAAAGCCGTATATTTAAAAACAAAGCATATTTTGTGATATAAACAAACACCTAGACAATGAAAAAACTCCCAACTAACTCAAAACTTTAAAATCTTTAGGAATTGTTAAACATTTTATTGTTTGTTGACCGTAAAAGAATACAAAAAACTAGTTTTTAAAAACAATTTATGATTAGTTCTTTTGTTGCTTTTGTTCTTCATCTAAGCAATCAACACATTTGAAACGAGTAATTTAAACGTAATTCAAGATCATCAAGAACTTTCTTGGATCTTTAACCGTTTTTAAATCAATAAATTTTCATCTAAATTTTATCGAAGCCTATCCTCGTTCAACTCAAACTTATACTCTTTTGATTTAAAACCAGATCCTCTAGGCTACCTTTAGGTGTTAAGCTTCAACTTTAAATTTTGTTCTTAACTGAAATTTCATTTGAATTTAAGGCTGAGATCATCAAGTTTTTCGTTGGGTCACTTAGTATTACTATCCCCCTCTTAAAACTAGTGTCTAACGACCTCAAAAATTGATTCGCTTTCCCACTTTTATACACGAAGCTGGATTAATATAAATTCTTCCAACAAAATAACCATTAAATTTAGGCTATAAAATAAAACAAGGCTATAATTTCTACACAGAAAAAAATTATAAAAACTAAATTTTCCAGATTACGAAACACTGTTTCGGAATCTGACTCAACAACTATACAAAACTATATACGACAAAAATAAACCAGTGGACAATCATTGATAAAATTTTTTTAATCCGAAGCTAGAAGAGCATCAACAATCAAAAGCAAACGCAGAATTTAAAAAAATTTATAGTCGAAAACCAGTGAGATTAAATAGCTTGAATCAACCCATAACACACTTTGAAAATTATATATTGACCGTAATATCGCACGAAAATTGATTCAAAACGCAAAAGTTTTGACAATGACTCTATCCTCCTACTTGTCATTGATCCGATAAGTGACCCGTCAAAAGGACAAGTCTAATTTTGCCACATTTTAAAAGTAATTTTTTTCGAAAAGAATATAGCACATGCCAACAAGAACTTCCAGAAAAAAAATTACGTAACGCAGTAAAATTTATACGCAGCAAGAAAATAATATAATTATGTCGTAGGTTATTTATACAAAGTTTTGATTTAAAAATGAGTAAAAAATTAAGATAAAAACTAATGTTTTTTATGTGTGCTACAGGTTTGCAAACCATCTCAAATTCGTTATTTGTCTCACCCACACTTTTCACATAATTTAACGTAATTTTCCGCTACACTACTTGAGATAAAAAGAGTTTCTAGACTGGTAATCTAACTGATAACAGCTTTAACTCACTTTTACGCGTTTCAAGATTTCGTTGATCCCAGTTGGAGGATGAAATTAAAGCTAAACTTTCATAACCAATACAGCTCACTAACACCACTAAACCAACAAGATGTACAGGAAAATCTCACGGTATTCAAACCAGAATGAACACAGATTAAAATGGATAAAATATTCGTTTGATCTCAAAATGAAGAAATTAGTAAGACCACATGAAACGCTAATACAATTAATGGGAATACAAACTAAACATGATTCGTTTTTGAGAAAAGGACACAACCAAAATAAAAAAAAATAAAAAACTTCTGATACAAAAAAGTTACACACAAACAGAGACTCTATTCAAAGAGACATCACCTCTCCTCTAGCCTCGACCAGCTAAACATTAGGACCCCGACTCCGACTCCATTTTTACTAGGAGAAACTCTAATGTATAAAAGTCTTTAATAACCGAACTAATTAAAACGCTTTTGCCAAAATAACTAACAAAAGCGATAACTAAAACCGAAAATACTAACAAGGTTCAAGATATATAATGTAAAAGGTTTCTCAGAGCAAAATAACGAGCAAAAAAGGGAAGATGAAAACTTGACGGCATTTTCACTCTGGAATGGCAAATCTATTGTTTTTGCTAGCCGCAGTCACAAACCTCGCACGATACAAAGCATAGAGCTAATATCGCACCAAAGGTATCCATTGAACAAGAACAATGGTCAACTCGATTTTGAACTCAGAATTACGTATCCTAGTCATTTGGCGCTTCACTCGGAGAAACCAAACCCTATCTCGCTATTTGATAAATAATTGAGAATGCACGTAGTCTCGCTCGACTTAACGAAATCGACTCATCACTATGTCAATCTGCAACCTTGACGCGATTCTTTAACCCTCTTTTCTCTTCACTCTCCTTAAAGAATCTACACAATTCAATCCATCCATCCTTCACTCGGAAAAACTTAAAACTTAAAAATTTCCTAAGCCCCGGATGGGTGTAACCAGTTCAAAACAAATATTTGATTTAACCAACTATATTCTTGATAACCGTAAAGTACTTAGAAATAACCAATCAAGATCCATGACTAAAACGTACAATAATTTGTCAGGCTGAAACTATTTATAGTTTCAGCCAGAAAAGAATAAATGTAACTTAGCAAACAGTTGCTCTTTCTCTCCTTTAACCTCGCAAGAATACCAGTACATGCTAGATCTTTTGAGACTAGGAATATAAGGGTAAGATTAGGATTGGTATTAGACCAAGAAGTTGCACGAATCTATCCGGCCCAAAAAAAGATAGGGTGACGAATATACGGTGTACTTTATCCGAAAAAACTCTATGAGAAAGCCACCCCGGACTTAAAATCAGGTGGTTGACTAAGATTTCACACTGTTTCATATTCTAAGACTTCTAAATCACAAAACAAAATCGATTTTCTCGAACCGTTGTTTGAAAAAGGTTCTGCGCATTACTTTTGATGCTGGGCAGAAGGTTGACGGTTAGTCAAGAGAAATTTGTAAAAAACGGCCATTTGAGTTATTCTTTAATTGAAGAAGCAACAAAAATGGGCTCATAAGATACACGACAAAAACCGAACTAAAACATTTTAAAACAATTTTTCTGAGCGTTCATATGTATTAAGCTTTTTATTCTATTTAAAATTGCAAATTTATTCACAACTTCAAGAATGGTGAGATAGCTAGATGATTAAGACGAAATTAAATTGTTTTTATAAAAAATTTCAGTTTTTTTTTCTGTGGGGGTTAATTATTCAAGCAGCAGTTTTGCTTTATTCCAGCCGAGGACTAAGAGAAGAGTCTCTTTGGGTGTTTCATTCTCGCCTTTCACCTCCTGAAAAATTCAAAATTTTTGTTATATTCCTGTGCATTCTGAAGTTTTCATATCACAAAAGAATATCAAGCTTTTCAAGATCTCACAAAAGGCATAACCTTATGTACAAAATTCTTAAATTGTTACTGTTTCGATGAAATTAACAACTTCAATTTGGATGAATTTTTTTGGGTATTTGTGTTCTCAAATAGTTAATTAAAGATGGTACTGCGCTTTTAATTGTGGTTTGATTGGAGTCATCACGGTTAGTCAGTGGTGTGGTGATCTAGCAACTAATAACAGTTTAAGTCTTTTCCTCAGCCGTAAGCTAGCAAGAATCAGGTCATAATTTACATTCCGAAGTAAAATTTATAAAAAATATTAAAAATTCAAATTACTTAAAGGCTGTTTAACTTGCTCAAAGTTGCTTTTGCTAGATAAAATCAAAAATTTTGCAAAAGAATGTATTTTTTAAAATCTGCCTCTCACACAATTGAGATGGGACAGGGCTGATATCTCATAGAATACTTATAGATAGAATACACCTTCTGTTTGTCACCTTCTAATTTCAAATAGATAGGTTCGTGCAACTTCCTAGTCCAAACATGATTATTACTCTTCATTCTTAGGTTTATCTTTCTTTAATTTCGTAGGTCTCAATTGATCCTAAAGAAACACTGGAAATCACTCATGTTGGAGACCAGTTTTTTTCTAGATACTTTCAAAGTGGTCTTAAAACAAAATGGAAAGTTTTGCAATAATTATTGGAGACGTTAGACAAAAAAGTCCTTGGATGTCTTTAACTTCTCCGATTATCAGGTTAATTTTTTTGTAATCAATTAAAGTTTCTTCATATCGTTTTTTATAGAGTCTGTTTGCTAATTACATGCCTAATCAAATTCTGGCTAAAATATGAAGTTTTAAAATATTTAAATTTTTAAATGCCAAATGTGTAAATGTTTATTCAATTTCTAGATTCTGCTAATTTTCTAATTGTGTATTTTAGTGATGTTTTTCCCGAAGTGGAACAAGACTCTACGTATCACAGCAAAACCGTGATTGATGCAATTACCTTTTAATTTGAGTGAAATTTCTTTGGAAAATTCGCCCTCACATGAAATTGTAAGTAAAAAATGATGAATTTTGAGTTTGCAAACAAAAATTGAGAATTACCTAACTGGCAACAACTTAAACTGGATTGAATCCGTATGGTTAGCAGTTTTTTAATTGAAAATTAATAACATAAATAGTAACACTACTTTTTTAAAAAAAAACTTTCGAGCATGTTGGTTGTCTCAAAATTTCCAAGTTGGCAATTTTTAAATTCCTGTATTCAAGACAAAAACGTCCTAATTTGTTTTTAAAAGTGAGCTTAAGGCAACAATTCCAAGTATGCAGTTTTCAAATCCCTGTATTTAGACAAAATATATTCCCACCTATTTTTTTTGAAGTTGAGCAAAATTTTTTTCATGCTGTTTGACTGTATTTCAAAACGTCGAATACCGTCAGAATAAAAAAATCTACTCCGTATTATCCGTCATTTTCTTTGAAATCAAGATAACAAATAGTTAATCTAATGCGTTTTTATCCTTTTTTTGCCTCTTAATGCTAAAATTCAACAAGGATTGCATAGAATCTTGGCAGTATGAAACCGATTTTGTTTCTTTTTTTTTGCAAAACTAGGCTTATTCATGGACATGGAATATAAAACAGATTTAGTCAATTCTTTCAAGATCACTTTGTATCCTTGATAGTGATATCTGCCCTCTGCCAATAAATCTTGCGAGGCAAGACAGTTTTTTTTGCAAATTGAAAATGTTGGTTGCTGTGAGAGGATGAGAGAGTCAAGGTTCCTGATGATTCTCAGTGTCGAAGATCGTAGTGGTTTTGATATGCTGAGGGTTCTAATGGCTCTGATGAAGCTGAAGCTCCCAATGGTTGCGAGCGTTCTGAGGCTCCTGTTCAGTCTGAGGGTGTTATGGTTTCTACTGAGACTGAAGGTCCCAATGTTACTAATAATACTGAAGGTTTTGATGTTCCTAATCGTTCCCCGAGGGCGCTAGGTCTCCTTGATTTTGGCGATGTATCGGATGAGACTTAGAATGTGCTGATACAACTTCGGCAGAATTTTGGCAATTCCAAATTAGTTGTTCCCTTAGTCGGCTTTTATTTGCCACTTCGTTTCCGAAAACTTTGCCTCGAATCATTGCGTCAACAATTAAACTGTTAATCAATTTCTGCTGGTTTTGAAAATTGATGTTTCAAATCGTGCGCCATACTTTTTGATTGGGATGTCGGTTGGAATTCAAACGTATAGGTCAGCGGGTGGGATGTTGTATGGTTTTAGAAGAAATGTCAGCCATTGAGGTGCCAGATGCGATACCACGGTGAGGAAGCGGTTAGAATGTCGTGATATTTTCGAAATTCAGTAAGTTGGTTTGTATGTCGCGTTCTTGATTTGTTGGAGTTCGTTTTGTACTGAAATTTTGTTCGTTTAGTTCGTTCGATTAATTTAACTCATTTTAAAATCTCAAACGAGGGCAGTGCGTTTTCCTGTAAAAATATGAGTCGGTGAACAAAAAATTTGAATTAGCATACTGGCAACTACTTAAATTGGAATGAATCCGAATGATTTGCAGTTGGTTTAAGTGAAAATTAATAAGTTCAATAGAAACACTACATTAGAAAAAATAAACTTTTCGAGCAAATTGGTTGTCTCAAAATTTCCAAATAGGTAAATTTCAAATCCTTGTGTTTTAGGCAAAAAAGTCAATACCCAATTTTTTTTTAAAACTGAGCTTAAGACAAAAGTTCCAAATTGACAATTTTTGAAACAATATTTTTAGACAGAAAAAATCCCCTATTTTTTTAAAATTGAGCTGAAGACAACAATTTCAAATTGGCAATTTTCAAACCTCTGTCCTCTAGACAAAAAGTATCACATCCTTATTTCTTTAAAATTGAGCTTACAGCAACAATTTTTTTATGTTACTTGAATGTACAGAGTCTGGGCAGTTTGAAACATATTTGATTTTTTTTTTGCAAAACCAGGTTAATTCATTGACATAGAAAATAAAACAGAAATAGTAGCCAAAATGGTTCAAATCATTTTATATCATTTCCAGTAGTTTTTTTGACTGATTCTAATTGAGTCTTTCAAATAATTCTTTTTTGCCACATCTTTTTTGACAGTTTTGCCTCAAATTGTTGCGTCACCAAACCATTGATCAGTTTCGCTGGTTTCAAAAATTGGTTCTTCGAATCGTGCGCAATATTTTTTGATTGGGTTGTCGGATGAGATTCAAACGTATAGGGAGGTGGGCGGCTTGGATGTTGGAATGTTGTGACATGTCGAAATTCAGAAATTCGGTTTGTATGTCACGTTCTCTTTTTGTTTGTTTGAGGTCCGATTTTTACAGAAATTTTGTTTCATCAATTTGTTCCGCTATAGTTACTCAATTTTAAATTGCAATGACTAATTGTTTTCGTGTGTTAAAATATACTGTGTAATTAAAAACTTGAAATAAGGATAGTCAATACTATCAGGAAATCTAGTGTGAAATAGTTTGTCTGGTTCTATTTTTATATTTAAGTTGTTCCCTGTTCTATATTGCAAAAACATACAGGCACCTTTCAAGACTTGCTCCTGGATTCCACTGAGAATCTGTTGTTAAATTCGGCAGTCAAAATAGAATCAGTTTGAGAATTGATTATTTTGAGGATTCCACTAACCATTAAATAAGTTATAGAACTGACAAAATTTGAGAGTTTTTTTATTATAATTGTTGTGGTTTCCACTAAAAGTTATGATTTTATTACCAGTCTCGCTGAAATTGAAAAAAAACAATGATTTTAATCAATTAAAAATTGATTATAGTCTTTATTTTTGAAACCAAAATTGAATGAAATAATCAAATGTTTTAGTCAATAACAGTCGATTGTTTTCCATCTACTATTCGATACAAATATACTAGCTTATACTCAACCATAATCGATTAGTTTTATCCCAGTTTTTTGTGTAAATGTTTTACCCAAAAAAACCATTATAACCATTTATTTTGCTTGTTTTGTCCTCGACCTTGCTTCTGAATTACTTCTATTCTATGTTTTTGGTAGACGTTGGTTTAATTGAAAAACCATAAATTATTTTTGAAAGTTTTCAAATCAATTCAAGTTCAAATGTTTTTATTTTTCATTTTTTCTGCAAGAGAATTATGTTATGAGGCGCATTTTGTATTTTGTTAAGAGCTCATTGCTTTAATTTCGTGATTAATTTCTCGTGTAAACCGGATTTTTTCAATTAAGATGACTAAGATGGAAGAATGTCAAAAAAATTGATTGTGCGGTAAAACTTTGTGTTACACTTTAATTGATGAATTACTTTCACACTTTAATTGATGAATTAAAGTGTGACAAGACAACTCGCTTTTAGAGATTTTTTTTTGACAAAAACCATAAAAACCCATAGTATGTAAACAAAATTACTATTAGTGTGTCAAAAACTTTGGCAAAAGAAGAGATTATAATTAAATATAAGAGATTTTCAGAAACTACTGTGTGAACTATATTCAATAATAGCCGACTATAACATCTTGGAAAATATAACGGTTATAATCGATTATGAATCCTAGTTTTGAATCCTGGAAGACCAAATTTATGTAATTGTAATCAATTATGTTTGTCAAAAAAATCAACCCACCAATCCGTTATAATCAATTACTTACGCCTGAATTTGGGTGCGGGTTGTCAAGTGATATCACTGAAATCATGTTTATGAACTTGTTTATGAAGAGTTTGAGAGAAAAAACAGGAAGCAAGAGCAAATATTCCTTCTATCTTTAGTTTAAATGCCCCCATCATTTAAACATTTTGAAAAAACTGTCTACATATAAACTTATATTACCGTGCACGCAGGTTTTCGCTTCAACAATAGAAAGTAACGGAATATTTGTGCTCGGGGTGGGTTTTTTTTCTTCAGACAAATTTCGACTTTTTAACTAGCCATTTTTGACGGATTTTTTTTTATATCATTCAAAAGTTATTGTTGTCTTGAGCTTAAATTTGAAAAGATAGTTCTCCTGTGACCATTTTTCGAAAAGTTGTGAGGGTTTAAAGATTGCCATTTTGGCCAATTTGGAACAATTAACGCGCGATATATTTCGCGCTATTAACGCGTAAGCGGAGATTTAATCCGCCTTAGAAATAGTTCCAAATTGGTTCAAGAAAGCTTATATGCTATAATTGATATATTAATAGGAGCGAAATCTATCTTTTTGTACTTTATATGGCGTCTGGGGCGATGATTTTCATAAAAATTTTCAAACCTTAGAAAAAAAAATTTCATTTTATTTTATTGTATTTCATTGTTTTTTGTTATTACTGCTCATGAAATGTGAACTCTATTGTTGAAGCGAAAACCTGCGTGCACGGTAATATAAGTTTATATGTAGACAATTTTTTCAAAATGTTTAAATGATGGGGGCATTTAAACTAAAGATAGAAGGAATATTTGCTCTTGATACGAAAGTAACGAAATATTTGTGCTCGGGGTGGGTTTTTTTTTTCTTCAGACAAGTTTCGACTTTTTAACTAGCCGTTTTTGACGGAATTTTTTTATATCATTCAAAAGCTATTGTTGCCCTGAGCTTAAATTTGAAAAGATAGTTCACCTGTGACCATTTCTCGTAAAGTTGTGGCGGTTTAAAGATTGCCATTTTGGCCAATTTGGAACAATTAACGCGCGATATATTTCGCGCTATTAACGCGTAAGCGGAGATTTAATCCGCCTTAGAAATCGTTCCAAATTGGTTCAAGAAAGCTTATATGCTAAAATTGATATATTAATAGGAGCGAAATCTATCTTCTTGTACTTTATATGGCGTGTGGGGCGATGAATTTCATAAAAATTTTCAAATTTTAGAAAAAAAGTTTCATTTTAATTGTATTTCATGGTTTTTTGTTATTACTGCTCATGAAACCTCAAAAGGCAGTCGGAACATCCAGGGCTTCGCCCTGATACGAGCAGTCTTGTTCAATTTTGAAACCAAACTATCAATTTGACATCAATTTTTGCAGACAAGCCAAAAAGTAATACTCTTACTGGCTCAACAAAAGCTTTGTACATCCGCAATAAAGTTTTGACATTAAACAACATTTTATACTGCCAACTGTTTTAGTTTTTCCTTCTATTTTACTATATGCGTTTTTTAGTACTTTTTTCATACAAAATAATGCTTCAGTTTCTTATCTCTTTCTAATTTTCAAGTTTATGACCTCTTAGTTTTATATCTATATCACGCGATGCTTGTGAAAAGTTCACTTATTTTGAGTTTTTTCCTTTAATGTCAGTTTTTTGCATCCGATCAATTGGAAACATCTTCAACTTTTGATTTTATTTGTTTTAGACATGAAGAATTTTGACTGTAAAAACGTATATAGTCAGCAAACATTTATCATTTTACTGTTTTGACATTCATTGGGTAATTCATTGGGAGACAAAATAATTATTAATGGTCCAAAACCGATGACCCCTTGAAACTTTGAAGTTAAATAATGTGTTTAGGGCGTTTTCATCCATCATCGCAAACTTATTTCTGTATGTCAATTAAGATTTCAATGCTTACACTCAGCCCGTCATCTCAGCCCGTATTCATAGCTTTTCTCAACAAAAACTTCATGCAAAACCGAAAAACTTCAAAAGCTTTTGAGAGATGCTTTTGAGAGATCTATAAAAAATTTTAACAGGTCCCGTTTTGGAGCCAGTGTTTTTCTTTTGATATCTACAACCGCCGATATAGTTTCAACTGCTGACTTTTTGCTTTGGTATCCATTTGGTTGTAAGAAATAACCACGTGTTTTGCAAAGAAATTCACTAATCTTTCGTTCACTAATTTTTGTATAATTTTGGGCAATTTTAGGTAACGGGGCTACTGGTCTGTAATTTTTGCATTCAGATTTTTCCCTGTTTTGAAAAATGGCAACATTTTAAAAAAATTTTTGGGGGAATTATCGTTCGACAAATCTTCAATTTATTAATTGAGCAAAAGCTCACAAATTGAACGATTTATTTTTTTAAACAAATTTTTTACTTAAGTCTTTAGTTTCTGTTGCTGTTTTTTTTCTGGCACACTTTCAATTTTATTCTAAACTTCTTGTTCGTTACTTTCAAAATTAACAATGGTTGTTTCAACTGGCTTCACATGTGAGATCTTCGGAGGTTTGCTTGATTTGCTTGCTAGCTTCTCGACAACATTTACAAAAAGTTTATCTTTTAGTCATTAGCATCACGGTCAGGCGGCTGATGATAAGTTTATCGAAAAGAAAACTGAAATCAAATTTTCAGTTGCATATTTCAGTGAGATTGAGCTCTCCAAAAAACTCAAAACCTTCAACTTAATAGACTAGAATGTTTTTCAAAACTATTAAATTGATTCTTGTATCAAATTCGTTACAAAATTTAAGTAATTGCGAATTAACAGTAATAAAGTAGGGTCATGTAAGCTTAGATACAGTCAAATAGCGCATTAAGTTCAGAGCCATTAAAAACGTTAATCGGTAGTTTAAAATTTTTACTACTTTAATTTTGATTGCTACAGCAAGCTATATGTTTCAGTTTCTTCAGTTCTCTCCAATCGCAGCTTGGATTAAGACAGAAGTCGTGGAGGTGGATCCCGCGATAGCTCAGAGCCGCATTGCATTTGTTTGCTAAAGTCAGTTGACCCGTTTGAGATGAACTTACATTCGACTGAGGCGGGGACTCAAGCATGGCAATCGGATTGGGACGAATCACCGACCTCCGAGTTAACTTTGCTAAAGAGCAAGGGTTGTCTCCATTACTTTGCAAAACGTGTGAGGCCGAAAATGCGCCGGTGAAGCCCGATGGTGACATAAGGTGTGTAGCAGTAGCACGTCGGATTGTTGCCGGCGTCCTATGTCTGATTCCTTCCGAGTTTGACTCGAATGTCGCGCGGTTCCGCATGGCCGAAGTGTTTGAAGTCCTGATGGCGCTAAGTGACTCACTCGTGATGTTGTCACGTAACACACGCGTGATAGCATCACGTGACGCACTCGTGATAGTGTCACGTGACGCACTCGTGACGGTGTCACGTGACGCACTCGTGACGGTTTTACACGACGCACTTGCGAGGTTTGATTTGAAGGGAGAGCAACATTTCTTTTTGAGCTCGTGTCTCTTCACTGCTTTCTTCTCTCCGAAGGCTTTGTCGCACACCTGAACACAAACTGTTTTTTGGATCAAAAAAATCTAACCGTTCTAAGCTTCCAATTCATGAAGCGCGTAATGGTTGCCGCGATACATTAATCTTATCACTTTCTTAATCATTTCAGCTCTTTATCTCAAATGTTAGATAAAATGTGCATATTTTATTGTTCAGAACTTCATGAACAATCGGAAATGACTAAGGTTATTAGCGACTGATCAATTAAATTTTAGTCTGACTTTGCATTTGTAGGCTTTTTCCTTGTTGTGAAATTTCGTAACATGTCGCTCCAGATTTCCTGACACTTTGAAAGCTCTGTTGCAGAGTTTGCACACGTAAGGCTGCTCTCCTGTGTGAGTCTTCAGATGGTGATTCAAGGTAGCCAACTGACGGAACCCTTTGTGACAGAATTTACACTCGAAAAAATTTGCACCACGTAGCAGAGGATCCCCCGATTTCAAAGTTTCATTTGAATTGCAACGTTGGTTTCCTGCTAGTCTGTTCAGATAGTTGTTATCAAAGTTCTCGTGTTCAATTGAAGAGTTACCTGATTCGTTTTCGGTTTCTTTTCTGTTACTCTTGCTACTATTATTCTCTTCCTCTTCGTTTCGAGTGAAAACGATTTGGATTTCCTCGTCATTTTCTTCATTCGGACGCTCGTTGATTTCCGACATCTCCTCTTCGGTTTCTGAGTCCGAGCCGAAATGGTCTCTCGGGTTATTCAAATCGAGCCGCGACTCGCGGCGCGTGCCTCTTGAGTTTTCTAATCCTGAGCCCAAACTGTGTTGATTCTGAGTTTGGTTCTCGTCAGCCGAGCGCGGATGCAAAGACAAGACACAGCTTTGTGCCGACAAGTGCGTGTTTGGATAATCTACGTTCAAACTCGGCACAGTCGAAGCTACCGAAAATGTAGGCCCGACTATTATCGGATATTTATTCACGCAGAACTTTTGATGTTTGTTCCGAGCGCTGAATGAGTTGAAAGTATCGCCGCAAGTGGAGCACGTTACTTTTCGGCTACAATCTGTGAGCTTGTGTCGACATAGGTTCGAGAACTGGGTGAACAATCTGCTGCATACCCCGCAAACGAATGGTTTTACACTTCTGTGTTGTGTGTGCACGTGTTGTTGCGTGAGTCCGCTGGTTGTAACGAAAAATTCCCCATTTCCTTCGCAGATGTAGTTTTGGTAAGAAGTTGCGTCTTTTTCCTGGTGAGTTTGCGACTCCATATTTATGAAAGCAAGGGATACGATTGGTAATGCAAGTTGAAACTTGAATCGTCGGCGTAGAGCATTGATGCCAACTAGCGCGAGTTGATAGCAGCAAGTTGAAAGTAAAATATAATAACTATTTATATAAAAAGAAGATAAAACTGCAAAAGTTCCAAATTAAATCAGCAAAAGGCTGATCCACAAGTGCCCAAAATGGCCAAAAAGTATTCAAAAAGGGGAATTCCAAAGATGAGACCCGGCCGCCCTAAAAGACGAGATCCCCTCGAGAACATCCTGGATCACCCGGCTTGTTAATATTAAGTTTTTCATAACTAAGCAATAAGCCTATTTTATTTAACTATTACTTTATCAACGTAGTTTGGCATTGTAACGTGCCTAATTTGCAGACTAACTCGACAGTTATCAGTCTGTCATAATGCGCTCTGGTTTTCAGATGTGGTACGATTTTTTCGCGTTTATTGTTTACTCACTTTCTTCTCGCCTTTTATTGTAAAATATACAGCATGCAACACAAAACAGACATTACTGGCAGCATGGCCAAAAAACGACACAAATATCCTCGAAGTTGCCAACAGATACCTATTCGTTTCTAGAGTGCACGTAGGGGATGAAAGTTTGCTGAGAATCTTTTCGAGCCACCGTCATTCCAAAATTTTGAATGAACCTCAAAAGTTTCAGCTGAGACTCAAAATTTTGCCGAAAATCGCAAAATCAGCTACCTATAAACCCAAATTATATGAACGAATCTGATTGATTAGTAAAAGCCTAGATGAAAATTGAATGTTGAAAATTTTTGGAAAATGATTTTTAGGCCAAACTGAAAACATCACATTTGGGTTTTTTTAGCAAATTCTCGTTTCAGCTGTTAATCTTCAAACAACTCACCTTTAAGTATGAAAAACCAGCTGTTAATTGATCTTTTTTGACTACAATCTTTTTTTACGTGATTTTTTTTTCAAAAAAAAATATAGAATTGAATCTGTACCTGACTTCACGATCTCTAGCAACACAATCATTTGAGTCTAAACTGTTTGGGATCTACTTAACAATCTCGCACTCTCCCTTTAGTATCTACTGAAGAATAGCCCCCTCTGAATAAAAAGGGGTCAAATTAACATCTCCACCAGACCAATTAAAGATATTCCACCCCAGCGTTTAAGTTAAATTAAATTGCTAAGCGCTGCGTGTGAAATGCTCTATTCTGATTTCCTAAAATTTTGAACTCAGAACCAAGTTCACATCCTCCCCCCTAATCCGCTTCAGAACGATTCACAACCAGGGATGCTCAAAAAGCATGTTCACAATTATTTCTACTAATCGGCCCGGCAGATTCGAACATGTATCTGTTTCCAACTTCAGACGTAATAACCTTTTTTTTCATATATTGGCCCTAAGTTACACTGCAAAAGCAAGTTAGATATCAAATCGGATTTACATGATTGAACCATTAATCGACGTTGCTATTTGAATACGAGCAGTTCTGAAAAATCATTCATCTGACACTCGTAAAATTTTTCAACTTTTCGAGTTTTCGATTTGAAAACTAACTAACTGGTTCAAACCAAAACCCCCAACTATAAAACCTCTTTCTTGTACATTTTTTCATTTGTAAATTAACACTTTTATGTTTAAAAGTTTTACTGCAATTGTAATTTTCAAAATGTTTTGTATTGCTTGCATTAATTTTTTTGAATGGAATCATCATTAAGTAAGCAAGCATCATTTTTGAAGTTTTTGGCTGTCAGCTTCAGAAAAACTTAAAAAATTTTGTTTGGACAAGGAAAATTATTATGCGTGAGCCCAGATGATAGAAAAAATGTAGAAACCCCGTTTTTGTTTCAGGGTTCTTAGAAAGCTAACAATTTTTGATAGCTTGCGGTTAACTGAAAAGATGATAAACTTGATTTGGAGATGGTCCTGACATTGGATTTAGTTAAACTATTTTTTTTTAGTAAAACTAGATTTATTTTGTTAGGATAATTGAGATTTAGATTCTAAATGTACGTATTCTACATTAAACGTAAAATAAACGCGCTTAATTGTAAACAAAAACTGGTTTGCGTGTCTTTAAAGCCTGGATCAATACTTAAGATCTGTCAAGTTTTTTGTTCCGACTTTTGAAGAAAACGGAATATTTATGCTCGAGGTGGTGTTTTTATTCAGTCAATTTTCGCCGATTGAAAAAATAGTTTTCAACATAATTTTTTATATAGCATTGAAGATATCGACTTCCTGGGCTCAAATTCAAAAAGATACTTTACCTCCGATTGTTTTTTGTAAAATTCTTGGGGTTTGAAAATTGCCAAGTTGGCCATGTACTAGATTAAATTATGCGCGTTTTGAAGAAGTTCTTCATATTGCTGAGAGCATAACGCGAATCATTTATGTGTGGCAAATTATCCCGCACAACAAAATCATTCCAAATTAAATTGAGGCTAACCTAATTGGTCGTATTAATTTCGTACGACTCAAAGTTTAACACTTCGATATTGTCCAAAAATTATAAGTTTTCGATATTTTCTTTTCCCAAAAGCTATTCGATATGAATTAAGGGACAGTAGGAACATTCAGGGCTTTACCTTGATATACAAACAGTCTTGTTGTCTATAATAATCTGTTGGATTGTTTCAGTTTTGCAGTCAGTGTTCCACCCGGGTTGAGTTGACAGGAAAAATTATAGCTATTATAGCTATTACCATCTATGTTTCAGTGTATGATCATGGTCATTTTATTCATGATCAGGGTTAATCATCGCTGAATTAGTGCTAATTTTTCAGGTCTGAACCAGATATGGATTTTCACTGTCATGTTTTGAGGAAAATCAAAAACAACAGATTAAAAAAAGGTTGAAATTCAAGTTACAAATTGGGCAACAATGATCATGAAGTTTCTAGATGTTAATTCATTATTGCACACTGATTAGTGTACAAATTGTTGTTCCGACTCGTAATATCCGTACAAGATGACGGTGTGGTTAATTTCTACAGGTAAACTTTTAACAATCCATTTTCCAAAAAAATTTTCTGTGGTATCTAGAAAATATTGTCGCCTTGAGCTCAAACAAAAAAAATCACCTGCGATCAATCTTCATAAAGTTACGGCGATTTCAAAATGCAACAATTAATCATTACGACGCCAGGCTCGGTAAGTCTTATTCCCAAATTAGAACCAGATTCTACTAAAGATTGTTGAATTGGAATTAATGGAAATTTTTTTACAATAGCATATTACAGTCAGCGTATCAGCTTTTGTCGCTGGTTTCCATGACAGACCTTATTTGTCTTGTATTGTGGGCAAAATTGTCACTGAGCTCCAATGCAAAAAATTTAAACGCGAGTGGAAGATATATCCGTGGAGTCCAGACTCGAGCAAGCGCAATCCTGTGCATCGCAAAAAGTAAGTTTGATGTCAAAATGATGCGCGTTATACTTCGTTCTATTACAGCGTGAGTGGTGATTTATCCGGCTCAGACTTTGTATTTTTTTGATTTAAGAAGAGCTGTTTGGGACGATTTTTACGCAGCTAGATGCTAATTGCATCATTTTGATTTTTTCATGGCGTTTGGAGGTAATATTTTTAGACAAAAAAATTTGAACAAAGTTCGTTTTTCTCGATTTTTTGTTCCAACTTTCGTAAGGAAAGTAATGGACTATTTGTGCTCGTGGTGGGTTTTTTTTTTCTTCAGTCAAATTTCGACTTTTTAACAAGCCACTTTGATGGATATTATTCAAAAAGTATTGTTAACTTGAGCTTAATTTTGAAAAAACATTTTACCTGTGATCAATTTTTGTATAGTTATGGGGGTTTAAAGGTTGGCGTTTTGGATATTTTTTGCGCTATTAACACGTAAGAGGAGATTTAATCCTTCTTAGTAATAGTTTCAAATTGTTTCATCAATTTGTTTTTTATAAGGCGTGTAGCGAGATAATTTTTGCAAAAAATATCAATTTTTTTGAAAAAATTTCAATTTGTTTTTCATTTAATTTTTTTCATGTTGTCACTGCTTCATAGACCTTAAAAGTCAATCTGAACTATCAGGGTTTTGCCTTAATACGAGCAGTCTTCTTTGAGTTTTATATTTCATGAAAAGATGACCTCTATCTGGGACTTTAATGCGTATTCGGAACGTTCGTGGTTTTATTTTGATACGAGCAGTCATGTTTCGTGTCCAATCAACACTTTGTTTAAAAAGCAGGATTCAAAGCACACGGTGATGGAACAACAAAATAATTTGACCTCAAATAACTCACTGCTTTATTTGCGAAAGCACTGGTCGAGCTATGAGTTTACTAAAAATTATTTGAAAATATTAATCTAATTTTAGAAGAAAAGAAAACGATAAGACTCATTAAAATAAATTAGAACCTGATATTAACGCGTTAGAAAATAAAGCCTTTTAATCCATTTTAAAATAATTTTAGACAATTAGTCCAGAGTTTTGTACACACTCTGAAATAAACCGATTATTATACGCGGAATTCCAGTGCGGGAAGATAAAAAAGAGTGGAGAAAAAGATTCAGGGCAAGAGCTGAGCCGTAATGCGACAGCTGGCAAGAAAAGACAACCTGCATTAATTGACTACTCACAAGAAAGTCACCGCCCGCCGCAGTCGCGCCAACGTGTTGCGGGCTTGCCAACATAGGAGAGTGTACTTATTAATAAAATTAGAGCCGGTTATCGCCGCAAAGCAGATACTTTTTTGCAGATACACTTGAAGCCATTTTGAAAAAATTTAAAGATAAACTTTTGAAATAACAAAAATAACAATCGCTTTGGACATTTGAGTTTGACGTCGAATGTCTTAGACAGAAAGCGAATCTGTAAGAGAGTTCTAAAACTTTAAGCAAAAAATGGATCAGAGTTGTTCACACAATTGATGGGTGCCAAAGCCGTTGATTGTAAAGGTGGCCTCTTTTTTGCGTTATTTATTTGTATGAAGAATCTTAAAAAATAATTGGCAAAACAAAATAATTTCATAGACTTCAGTCATGTGTAA